ATGAGCACAAAAAAACAAACGCATGTGCTTCGCACGATGGGTGGGCCTTTGTTGTAGGTGAGAAGCTGGGAAGGTAAAGGGGAAATTGAATGCATATCATCTGTACGCAAAGATTGTAATCATTGCTAACGAAAAACGATTCTGAGCGGATTTAAATATTACATATGTATTTTGAAAGGCCGTAATATTTACGATTTGAAAATAATAAATTTCGTAAATTTTCCCGTTTTTCCTACGTTATTTCCCATTTATTATGAAAATCCCAGTGAAAAACGAAAAATTACCAGCTTGAAGTACTAGTCCATAAAAATTTCCTTACGGGAAAGGTGCCACACTTGAAAATCGGAGTAAAATTTCCGGTAGAAAAGTTGATCACGGAAAAATAAAATAATAAACGTCATTGGAAAACCAATACATTCCTCGCTCCTTCCGCTCAGAATCTAAAGAAAAAAAAAAATCGATCACGATTTAAAATCACTAAATATCATTTTAATTAATCGAACAACGATAATGATGCACCGAAACGTTACACAAATCAGTTATAGCACATTTTTTCAAAAATGTTATTTAATTTTTTTTTTTTTTTTAATTTTTTTTTGTGTAGGTACAGCAAATTTGTTTGAAAAATATTACGCGGTTACACGAATACGCGATCAATAGACACAAAAGTGTTCTATAAAAATCGCATTGAAAAATATCACAGGATGAACAGAAACTGTTACGTTGACTGCGGGAGAAACGCACGGGTGTGCACCGATAGAAAAATCAATGTAATAATGACCGGATCGGAAATCGAGCGAACAGCCGTAGAAAAAAACCGAATACACCGAAATGGCCAGGGGAAAATATGGTCCGGCTGACTTTTTTTCGCCCGTTGATATACGCACCCATCCCTCCTCCACCCCCCCCCCGGCCAACCATCGATTGTATATAGATTTCTACGACTGTCTGCGATAAAAGAAATATCTATTATTTCGGGACGGCGGGAAATTAACGAAACAAAAACGATAAACCGCGATTTATGACTTACCTGCGCAACGCGCAATAACAATAATCAACGCGTAGTAAAACTAGGTATCGTATCGGAATTATAAACAATACGAAAAGATAAAAAAAAATCTCACCGTGCCGTTAACGCTTCAGTGTTATCTTTTTTTTTTTTTATTATTATTATTTACCGCAGTTATCATTTTTGTTTATTTTTTGTCCCCGCCCCACCCCCCACACCTCATTCCGTAACGACGAAATAAAACTGCTCTAGGTGTACCTAAATTGCATCGTGTAGGTTTTTTTTTTTTTTTACGCGCCCGTTAAAAACAATAAAATGTATAAAAACCGAAAAAAATAGAACGAAGAGCGATAAAAACGAATCAAGTCGTTACATGAAAAGGAAAAATACGTCTTTATTGTCGCTATCGTGGCCGCGTGGCGAGGGAATCTCGTTCGCCACCTGTTAGAAGAAGACGGACAAAAAAAGTGACTCTATCGATCAAACGTGTGCCGGTTTCGACATTCCCGTTCCTGCAACGTTTTTGCATCGATTTGTCCGTTTCCTGCAGTGTAATAGAACGACACTTTCTATAGACACCTTTTTTTTTTTAAACAATACTATTACACTGCGTGCTATCGCAGGCGTCCCTTTTGCGGAATAACATATTTTCGATATCCACGTATCCCGAATATGTACCGTCGTTTTATACGTTCCGTATGATTTTTTTGTTCTTCACGTTCCGATGTTTTAGTATTAATTTTCATCGGCTTGAAAACGATGCTTGTTGAAAACAAGTGCATTTACGCGACGGGGGGTTATAGGAGAGAACGACTACCTCCTCGGGGCCGCATAAAATATCGCGGAATATTGCGATTTGCGTTCAAATTAAGGACTAATATAGTAATACGCAATGCAATACTAAATAGAGTGGCGAATTTAATGCTTTAGCGTGGTTTTTTTTTTTCGTTTGTAACATCGTATTAAAAATAAACCCCCGATTCGTGTATAATATCACATTACTGTGTATACATATAAATATATATTAATAACGCCATCACTATACCCAGGTAATGTGTAACTGAAATACGAAATCTTATTTTGCGTATTTATAATGGGTTAGGACGTACTATAAACGCGCGTATTCACGATTTCTAGTTTTATTTTTCTCGACATTTATGCGCTTCAGGTCAATCCGGTCTAAATTGACATTCAACTGTTTTCGTAAAAAATATCATTTTTATAGTTTCGATGGGACTGTTCCATTTCTGAACGGGTATTCAATCGATTGTTATTGAATTTCGCTGAACATTGCCCAAGTCAAGTATTATTGTTGTATCTCGCGCGTTCACGATATTTTAGACGCCTGTAGACGGTTAATAACTCGAAGATATTGAAACGCATAAAATTATAAAGTTACAACATAACAAAACTATACTGTTTGCAGATAATGAAAAACATATTTAAAAATATTATTAAAACAGAAATTCAATCGCGGTGTTTTTTTCTTTTTGCGTGTTTTCAGAATTTTAACATTTTTGTTCAGTAGTTTTTTAAAGCGTTAAATGCACGCTCCCAGTAATAAGTTATTGGGCAGCGGTTAGTATATACGTAGTAAAATTTTAAAACGTAAATAAATTTAATATTATAGCGAATCGAAAAACGCACAAAACGCAGTCGCTGATACTTTTCTCTACGATCTATTATAATAGCCGTTCGGGTGGGCCGACGTTCACCCACAACAATGTATCTGACAGTAAACGGTAAAATATCGTAACGATACATTATAATATTTATACTATCGTAATATTAAAATATTGCACACTAATGAGCCGAATTTGAAATCGTACGGTGCAATATTCCGTTATAGTACACAGACCCTCCACCCACGCAAAATAACGCGTACCTACTTATCTTTTTCGACCATTTTGACATTTTTTTTTTTTTTTTTTTCTAAAACTACCTACCCGTATTATACCTGTAGTAATTAATTTTTATTTCGGGAGTGGTCGCGGTTTATATACAACACTCGCGCTATACCCACTTGAACCAGTCTGTACTTGTTCGTTTTTGGTGATTAGACACCGCGATATTTTCTCTCATTGTCTAACGCCATATTAGACCAACAACATTCTGTGAACAGATTTTCGAATTTGACGTGAAACCTTTTCCTTTTTTTCGAATTTCAATTTTTAATTTCGGAAAATTCGATTTGATAACGTATAAAAAAAAATGTCCATAAAATTAAAAATAACCGATACTGCCGACGGGGTGTGCCACTGCCGTAGTTGGATTTCTGAAAAGACATAGGATACATTAAAAATGTATTCAATTTATATCTGCAGATATACGCAAAGCGGTTAGATATCTGGTGGTACACTTCACGCTGAATTCCAAAATCTGTTTTCGGAATTCTCATCGCTCCTTATATGAGGGGGATGAAAGAGGGAGTTAATGTCTGTAAAATAGTGATTTTAATTACTTAATAAAGCGGTGCGGATTCTGGAGCTTTGGGACGGTATTTATGAAAAAAAAATGTGTCCGTCCGGATTACACTGTTCGTTAAAGTATACCTAAATAAAAGAAAAAAATTGTCGCTTTTTTGTATTAGTCACCTTAAATATACCGTTACTCCGAATTTCCATAGCAATAAATTTAAAAAATTGTATCGCCCAATACTAAAATTATTCATTTCGAACACGTATTTAGCACGTACAACGGCTGATACTTGACGTTATTTTTTCCTCAATATGTGTACCTGCAATACGATTAACAAACAATTTATTCGCAAATCTACCGTCGTAATCCCCTATTCATTTTCACATATTTCATATAATATTTATCTTTTTATTATTATTGTTATGTCTTGATTCGTATATCAGTTAGAATTATAAATAAGGAAGGAAAAAAAGTGATTCAGCGTTGCTATTTATGTACTCGAGATAACGAGACAATGTTCGTAATTTAATTTAGAAAAAAAAAAAAAAAATAGTACAGTTATAGGTATGAATAATTTTTCAATACAAAATTGTTTCGCTTCGTGAACTCATAATAACAATAATGATAATACAATATTATATCGTATGGTATTCACAAAACGATTACCTATAATGCAATGGTGCGTTTTGCAGGGAAATATTGAATTCGAAGATTATATCAAAAAATCGAATTTCATATTATATTTTTGTGATTTATAGTTTGTTACTCAATCTGACCGGGAAATTAATATTGAAAAAACTACTTAGGTAATAAGTAACTAGCATAACGTACATATAGTTAAGCAACAGTGAACCAGAAGGCGCTGGGAACACGTTCCCCAATTTTGTTTGTTTTATCCGTTGTGCCAGTCATTTTTATGTGTATTTAATCGTTCTAAATGATTATAGATAATAATAAAAATAATTAATGTCCCCCCCCCGCAATTGATACGCAATGTATAACATACTTAGGTGTAATACTATAAATATTATATTCGTCATACGTGTCTATTTGTGCCTGTGTGCTTATATTATTTACCTATACATTATAAGTAAGTGGGACTCAAAGTTTTTTTTCTCAAAATTGACGGTCCGCACAACTAAAAAGGTTGAGAATCGCTATTATATTATGTTGTCGTTTCCCGTGTAAAATGTCCTCTAGAAACGGTTGTTCAGTATGTATACAGGATGATCGCTTTTTTTTTTTTTTCAATCGAATCCGGAGATTATACCGTACGAGCATTTCGAGTGAAAATTGATTTTGGTTTCGTTCATTATTGTTATACACTTGCAATATGTAGTCTTATTTATTCATTTTATTTTTGGAAATTAACGCCGAACGGCAATTTGCATAAGAGACATTATAGATAACAAAAAAGTATTTGAGAATATTTACAGATAAAACTAAGTTACACAGAATTAAAATATAGAACATTTATAATGGAAACCTTAAAATCAAACAAGAGCAGTATTAATATTAGACATATTTGCATTACGCAGCATTCTGTGAAGGGGTGATTATGCCCATAGAACGTTTAATGAGTGGAGACGTGAAATAATCGGTGGCTTCCAGTACCATATGACGGGATGCGAAACGAAATCGTGGCCAGCAGATCAGGTACGTCGAATGAGCCATTTAAAAGATGGGCGATAAAGGCCAAATCAGCATCCAGACGTCGAGAAGAAAGTAGAGGTATTTTAAGGGTGTTTAGAATCAGGAAATAATCATGAGGAGGATGGTCTATCTTTAGTATATACGTGGCGTAGAACAAGAACCTATGTTGAACATGCTCTAATCTTAATTGGTCCTTGGCCAGATAAGGAGACCAGACAACTACCCCATATTTGAATATAGAGCGTACTAAGGAAAAGTAGAGGATGCAAAGGCATTTAAGAAAAGTGAAAAACACCTTATTTAGTTTAACGAACCCTAATACTTTTAGAGCTCTTCCAACTACAGTGGTAACCATAAGCCGTTCAAAATTTAAGGAGAATACCGAGGTCTTTTACACTATAAACTCGCTGGATTAAAGTATTATTAAGGAGATAACTATGAAATATAGGGGAGCTGCTCCTCGAAAATGTCATAGTATTTATCGAGTTTAAGAGTTAACGCAAGAGCAAAAAATATCGAGTTCGGTCTGGGGTAGAAGGCAATCCGCTGGAGGGTTAATTCTTAAGTATATTTTGATACCATCAGCAAATAGGAGAAATTCTGCCTTAGTTATGTACTTACATATCTTATTATCTTGCTTTCGACATTTTCGAGATCTTCCCTATAATCCACACTGCACCGCCGAAATAGCAACCGGTACATTTTTAACTGTTATAATATTGTTTTATACACTCGAAATCCTCGCACCTGTAGACAGTCGTGATTCGCGTGACAACGGAACCATCCTGTATAATAATAATACGGTCGTGATAAAATATAAAAGTTAACGCCGTCGCGACCTTGTGGCGCATAATTTTTCCATATTCGTCGACGAGAGACCTATTTGTTTAGGCGTAAAAAAAAAATCGTATATACGAACCCGCCGTATAATAATATGCCAATGCCGTCCGTTCAAAAACTCATTTTGTTTCATTTCGAATATTATTGTTGTCGAGTCGGACAATACGATGAAAGTTATTATTATGCGAAGCTCGTCACGGTCTGACAACAATTTGACACTATATTATACAATAGTGTACAGTAGTTCACTGGGCATTTTCTTTTTTTCGCTAAATGTTCGTAAAACGACTATTTTTAATCGAATTTCCTCCCGAAATTAGAGACTATTACAGTCTACGATGCCCGTTATATTATTTTACAATGATTTTTTTTTGTTTTACCTATTAACATCTTTTCTACCAGAAATCTTGCTCCGATTTTTCAAAATATTTGTGTCATACCTGACCTATTTATAGACATTTTTATTCGGTAGGTACTCTATGAATAAAATGATTAGATCGAACAGAAATGCTTGGAAATTTAACAGCAGGTTCATTATAAGTCGTACTTATAGTGGCCAACAAGAAAAAGTTGAGTTCAATGTAGTATATTTTTTTTTTTTTTTTAAGAATTTTAATGTCAAAAAGGCCGGAAATCCGAATATTTTAGACGGATTGATGTGATGAAATTAGGGTTAAAACTTGATTGATATGTAATTCGCCGTGTTGTTGCTGGAGGAGTGTGTTTTATCGACTTTGAACACCAATACAGACCCTCCTTCCCCCTCCATTTAAATTGTGTATAATATACATTATTCATGGCGTTATATTTTCAAGGACGTATCTTTGGGGAGTTTTGACTTTCAACTCCCACGTTGCCAATTTTATGCTCGAATTTCACAAATTTTTTATCTTTTAAAAGTAATATATTTACCGTTATTTATTGTTTTTCACAAAGAACATTTTTATTGTACAAAAAAAAAAAGGGCGGAGGAAAACTCGACTGCAGTGCCCAGCTGGAGCTTTGCTATTCACGGGTGTTTATTTTACCCTCTGCTCGCGTAAACCGATTTTCGTATACATTCAATGGCATGGTGAACTTCGTTTATCTATGAGGCCAATACAATCGGACGACCCACCTGCACCTGTAAAACAACTCGTAGTTTTTTAGCGGGTTTAGGGAGTCTAACTTTTATTTTTTCATAGATATTATTTTGATCGTACGTCGTACGAGCGTTCTTCACACAGTTTTGTCATGGTTCATTGAAAAAAATAGAGACCGCAGTTTAACATTCTTCTAAATTTTATGAGCACCTACCAAAATATTTATGATTACGATATTATGCACCTAAGTAATTTGATTAAATACTATGCTAAAATTATTAGAAGTATATGCAGTTCCGCCAAGATTATTCTTTATATATTTACACGTACACCTATACCGATTAAATACCGTACAGCTCTAGAGAATTATCCTCTTTAATTTTCCCGAATAATTTATTAATATCGATTATGTATAGGTACAATCATATAAGTCATGAGTCACCCAAACCGCCCACCGGTCCCACTGTAAAAATTCAGAATCCAGAGGCCTCTCCAAAATCCCTTCACCACGTCATCGCCACAGTACGCATTAATAATCCAGTGACGTATTAAGGATTTCGGCACACCTAACCAAAAACTCGCCACTAATAAGTGTATCAAAAATGTATATAATTAGACGATTTATATAGGTTATTGTTATTATGATTTAGTTGATTTCACACAAGAACAAAATATCCGAGTAATTTTGTAACCATAGGTAGGTACTTCTTTCGTTCCTTCTTATTTCTATAGCGAACTGTGGTGTTCCCACATGGTATATGCTACATAATATTCAACATTTTGTTAAAAAAAAACCACGGGAATATACAGAGTATAAAAAAAGATACTTTTTATTTAAATTTAAATTTCGTATAACTAATATCTATTTTTCGGCAAACAGTATAAAACTATAAAAAAAAAATATATAAAATATTCTTTGTAAAGGCCATGTTGGACGTTACGGTATACTCACAAAACAATAGACGGGTACTCCGTCGGTAACAAATACGTTAATTGGTCTGTCAATACATTAACCAATTTCGCTTCAACGTTTAAAATGGCATAGTTGCTTAAAGTTTCTCCGATAACTGTGGAACGTAAATACGTTTTTAATTATTATTATTTTTTTTTTTTTTTTTTTTTTTTCAATGGTCTCCGCAGAGCATTTACCGCATGCGGAACGTATAATGGTTCGAACACATTATCCATTTAAATTCGGTAATTTCAACGTCCGCGCGAGTGTTAAAACAGTTGTTATGATAACATGTATGTAGAACGTTCATTTTATTGGTGTTTCGTTTGCACGGACGTTTTACACACGCGATCGAAGAAACCAGCTCGTGATGCGATAACGTTAATTTACGGAAAAAAAAAAAATAATAATAATAACAATAAAACGTTTTCCCCTTCTCGTAATAATTACTTAAAAAGCTATGGCGCCACTCGGCACTCGGAGTTGTCTTTCGACCGGGCCAACTGCAGACGCGTTCGATTCGTTTGTACCGATTTATCATTTTTTATATATATATATATATATGCAAAATAAAACAAATGTATATAAATTGAATTACTCTACAACAAATTCGCTGTATAATAGGTTTTCATCGTATCGAATTCATTTTAGACTTCCGAGTGTAACACAGCGCGAAGAAGCTATACTACTTTTGCTAATATTTTCTTGGTGATTTTTTTGTTTTACCTCGCTAAACACTTTCACCGAGGAATGTTTAGTTGGTTTTACTGTGATACGGTTTTTTTTTTCTGCCTGTAAACGACTTTTCACAAGGAAGTCAAAATGATTTTTCTCTTAGCTGTCTTGTTAATTGACAAAAACCGGGAAACATTGCGGCAATAATGATTTCGAATTGATCTTTTTTTTCTTTTTTTTATTCGATTAAAAATAATCGCTGAGACCAGTAGTTTTCACCGAGTACTCAAGTCTAGTCTTGTAAATCTAGACACAACATTTTTTGGTTTTTATTTTATTCTGATATAACAACGTTCTAACATCCTTGTGTTGAGAATCGCCTATAGTGCTGGTCTCTTACTCTTCCATTTTAAAATATTTCATGGAACATTTTTTTTTTTTTTTTTTACTTTGTTCTTGCGACCGTCACACGCGTGTCCTGTGCGCAGTACTTTGCAGTTTTATCTCCTTTTGCTTTTCAATATCGCCACTATAATATGTTTGTCCTCATTTCCGCCCAACACGTCCCTTGAATCTCTTTCATATTCATATTCTTTCTTATTTCATATTATATGATGCTCCGGTATTTTAATATCTTATTTTTCGCCCGTGACGTTGGGCGCACGACATTCCATCGAATATTGCATGGTTCTGTTCGATGTATAAAGGGACAAGGACACGTACCGTAATGAATAGTTATTAACTTATTATGATGCGGTAATCTGGGATCAGCTCGTGTGATGTAATATAATATAATACTATTATAACGGTATCAAATATTAATCAAATAATAATCAAATATTTTACATTATTCAACTATAATTATAAAAAAAAAAAAAAAAACAATAACATAATTATAAAATATATATAATATGTTTTTGTACACATTATCGATAGTCGAGAAGAATTATGAAAATACCCTAACTGATCAGACTTTTGTACGGTTTTCGATAGGTTTCGTATGAGAATACAATATTAGGTATACGATTGTATTTGTATGTATATACATTTTTAATGGTTAGATGTATAGTTGTATAGATAATACCGGTTAGTACGAATATTGATTATTGATTTTACAGTTTACTCCAATTAATAATAATTATCATATTGTTTGATTTACGAAATTATAATCAATAAGCCACCGCGAGATAATAATAAAAATATGTTCCTTGTTACTTCAGTGTCGGTATTTTTGTTATTTATAATCAGCGGTAGATAAAAAATGTATTGTGTACACATTAATTTTTATCAAGTGGAGTTTTCATTAATTATAATATTTTGCGATAGTGGTCTTGAACAAATAAAAACTAATACCTCGAAAAAATATTCAATAAAATGAATTGCGCATTAGCTGTTTAAGAAGAAACCGTATGGTGGTCATTATGGCATTATTTTTCCGTCACTGTCTTTCTGTGGCGGGTGTGTGTACTGTGCACGTACGGCGAATATGTGATCACGTAAAACAAACGAACGGACCTTTGGAATAGGTTTTAGTGACAAAACACCTATTTGAAAAAACGTGTGGATATTTTAAAGACTTCTCATAAGAGATTTTTTAATCATCACAAATGTTTTTACGGTTATTTAGAAAAAAAATAATACGATTTTTCATTTCACCGATAAACACGAGTTTTCAATTTTGACGCTGATTCGATAATTTCAGAGAATAGACGGTTCTTCCTTGAATGGAGGAATTTTTCAAATATTGATGTATTCGTTCTATAAAATGCCCGTGGAGTTCACGGCATTATTCTATACGATACAATT